TGCACAGAATTCAATTTTAAAGGGGCACTTAGAACAGGAGTTCTTAGCCTGGGACGCGCGCACACCCTGGGAGTACGAGACATGCCAGACTTTCAAACAAGGCACGTCACTGAAAACACAAATTAAACACAGGCACATAAGCACAAATGCTTTCTTTCATCAATCATAGGTATTTTAAGTCACACTTTAAAAACTGTGTAGTCAAAATATGTGTTATGTACTCTTAATTTGACTGTGAAATGTAAATTGATTTATCATTCTAAAAAGGTTTGTTTTTTTATGTACAACATTCTTAATTGCACTGCAAAGTTAAAACACATAAATAATTTTCTCTCTTTCACTCAAAAGGTATGATATATCTTGGTTCTAAAGCACTTTACTTATTTCTGATAAGGTGTCAAGGACAGATTTTGAGAACCAAAGGGGTGCAGGCTGCAGTAAGGGCTAAGAACTGCTGGCTTAGTATAGCATTCACAATGCAGGACAAAGCACTAACAGTCGGCATCACAAAGCACCTCAGAGGGACAGACCTTGGGCAGTTTCCTGCGGTGGAGGAATTTGGGCACTGCGTCCCTCCCGGAGTTGGGGTAGGTCACCTCTCGGATCTCAATGGTGTCGTCAGCCAGGAAGTAGTGAAGCACCAGCTCGCGGGAGTCCCCGAACATCGTCTCAGAGTCATCCCAGTGGCAGAAGAAACGCAGGACGCGTCTGTCGTGGTCCAGGAACTGCCTCAGGGTGTCGGAGCGCTCGTACGGCCGGAGAGGGCTCATGCTCTCTTCCATCTGCAAAGACAGACGACTCAGTCGCTGCTTTCACATACATCCACAAACACTCAGTAACAGCACCTAGGCAACTGAATATGGCAACTGCCAAGCCTTTAGCTTACAAAAAAGTTTTTCTTTTATTTTCCTCAGTGGAAGAAAATATATTTCCCACTAACAGATGGAATTTAGCTGACACGGAGGCTCATAAATATGTTTCCAATAAAAATAAACATATCAAGAAGGAATGAAATACACAAATCATTGTTTTTTTTTAGATATTCAAGGTTGATGTTTTCCAGTCACAGTAAAGCTTTACTTATCAGTGTCATAATGTAGAATGTGGTTCCGAATAGGTCTTCTTAACCACCAAAAGTTAATGATATGCAGTAGCTTAAATAGCACACGTTCATGTTACAGTATAAGATAATCATTGTTTTAATTCTAGTGCACAGCCACACACAGGAAACCCATAGGGCCAGAAGGAGATGGAGATCAAACGTCCCATCTAAGAATGTAATGTGCAGGGTAATCTTCACTATTGTTGCTTTGGAGAGACAACTGCCGTCCAGCCTTCCAGTAATGTGAAGTCAGCTACGAAAGTTTAATTATGCAAACTGAAAAAAATTTAGTTACCTGTTTTTTAAAAGTAAACTGGTGAAAGCCAGTTTCTTTAAAACTCAATGTTAAAGTCTCAGTAAAACAAGTGTATATAAAACAAATGGAATAATGAACTAGGTGATAAAACAGGTTAGGGAGCTTCGGACATCCACCACCATTTTGAATATGCTGACAAGTGAGGAGTCCAGGGGTGCAACTTAATCTTTTTCCAAGAAATTACTGCAGGGGTGGGGATTAGGCAGGAGGGAGTGGTGGAACAAGACGGATAAGTGGTTTGAGTCATTTCTACAGAAGTCCGTAATAAATATAATAATCAGCTCAAATTAGAGATCTAAGCTTTTTTTTCTCAAATTCTCAACAATAGTTAATTCGGCAAAGATTGAGCAAGGAAAGCAGCCTGTTGATTAAATTAATATTCTTACCACCGGATTCTAACGGGGTGGAGATGGAGGTTGAGCTTTGTAAACCTGTTTCTCTTGTAAGCCTCTTAGGTAAGAAGATGACTAATTTACCCCCACCAGCAAAACAAAAACACATACTAAATGTACCGGAAACATGGATCAAGATAATTAAATTCTTATCGCACTACAAAGAGTAGTGGAATTGGCCCAGAGGAGTATAGGATGTGATTTACCATCAACTGGTGAGATTCACACCATTCGCTGTCACAATAAAGCTCGATCCATCATTCAGGATCCCAACCATCCCGGCCACAAACTGTTCTTCCCCCTGTGCTCTGGCAAGCGGTACCGCACTGTTAAAGCACAGACCACCAGGCTTAAGGACAGCTTCTACCCTACTGCAATACACATCCTTAACAGCTAATTGCAATGTCTCAGAACCCAGTACACTCAATTGCACTATGCACTTTTTGCATGGACTACTATGTTTTTTTTTTCATTTCCACATATTTATTGTTCTGGTTGCTATTATTCATTATGTCTGTAATGTATTGTCTATTGACATCTGCTGTACTGTGTATGTTCTAAGAGATCAGCATGAATAAGAATTCCAATGTTAATGTATTCCAATGTACATTTACATATGGCAATAAACTACTACTCTACTAAACTATCATCCCCATCCTTATAATGTAAATTATCTTCACTAGTGGAGATTGCTGTCCTACCACTGGAAAAAACAGGTAACAACTTCAGTAATTGGCAAGCAGCAGGCATATATAGAATTTCTAGCGTATATGAGGGAGAACTATTTAAATAATTTGAACAGCTCCAAGTACAATGTAATATTCCAACAGACATCTTTAAATATCTCCAGGTCGGACATTATATAGTGTAGGTATTAAGAATGGTGGACTTGATTTTTCCAGTAACTCACACTCACTGGGAACATCCTCCTCAAGAGTGGGAACAAAAAAATTCTATCTTGGTTTACACTCTTTTGTCTAGGCACGGGGTAGACTCCCTACAGTCTTTACAAATAATTTGGAGCTGAGAACCGAGGCACTGCAAAGATAGCGATACTTGGAAAAGCATTCTTTCATTGCCTTCAACAATCTGTAATCCATATGGAAAAACTTGGTACAGTCTGTTACATAGAACATCTAAATCTCCACAGATCTACAGCACACATAGCACTGACACATCACTTAACTGACCTAACTGTAATACCCAATCAGAACACAGTTCTGTTGTTTATGGGAATGTACATACATTCAGAACTTCTGGCAGGAGGTATGCCAAAAATATCTTTGATCTGTAGAGTGCAGATTGATCCTCTTCTGTGAATCTTAGGAGTCATACCTATTCAGCTGCATATCATATATAATCACAGAGTGGTAGTTCAGCCTGTTCAGATGCTGGTGCGAAAGGCAATTATGATGAGGTGGGCAGGTGAAGAACCTCCCTCCTTTGGTCTCTGGGAATTGCAAATAAGTGACTTGGTCTCTTTAGAGAAGATTCAGCCTAAAAATGTTGTTTTAATAGAATGTTTTTAAAAACTATAGAATACACCTTTGAAAGCACTAGGTTTGAAAGAAGAGCTCGATATAAACTCTAAAACCATAATTATTACAAGATAAGCCTTACAGAAATATCTATAATTGATGTTCATTTTTTATTAGATATGTCTATACAGCTTTCCTGTACCTGTTGTAATTTCACTGTTATATTCTTATGGAAGAATGCAAAATGCAACCTTCCTACTGTGATTACCTTGTAACAAATTAAAATTCTTAAAAAAAGATCTCTTGTTGGTCATTACTGGCTTAACCGGTCAGCATGAAAGAGCTCTGAATGACTGCCAGTTGGCTTGCCCATTATGAGATGTCTATTCAAAGAGAGAACAGTCAGAAACCCAAAAGTACTCACTTAATTATTTAAGTGTGTTTTCCACAAAACAGAGGAGATAAAGAGACTGTGGGCTTAAAGACTATGCTTAGCCACCCCTGTTTTATATTAAAGATACAAAGATGCCAGGCAGGGCCCACTCCAGAAATAATTAGGGTGGAATATGCAGGCGAGGAGCATACTTGGGTTTAACATGTACCAGTGTTTGTTTTTTCAGAAGTCAATAATGCTGCTGATCCTGTATATGGAGCTTGTGGTTTATGGAAAAGACCGATAATCGCAATTGGTGTTCACAGGTACTGAATCTGTACAGGCCATGAAACAGCTTTTTTAATGTGGGTTTGCTGAAGACTCCCTGATTCAAAGGGCAGGGCCGCAGAGTTGCTCCATCAGTAAAGATGCTTGCTCACGGCACAGGCTGGGCCCTCCAGTTCAAAGTTCAAATGTTGATAGCTCGAATTGGGCTAGTCGTGATCAGGATTCTTCATGCAGAGGTGCATTACTGGCTGAGCACCACTTGGTCCGAGTGGAACTGAGCTAGCAAGGGTACACACAAAACAGTGACCTGTGGCAAAGATACCACTGAATGATGAGACACTCCACAAATAGTACTAAATCTCCTGTAAGGCAGTGTGGAGGTTACAATCTTTCATCAAATGATGGTGACAGATGTCGCAGGATAATTTGGGTATGAAATATAAAAGAAAACGGCAATGCTTCTGCTTTATCCGAGAAGGACAAGTGCTCTCTTCCTCTCACCTGCCTCCGGAGGCTGTTGTAGGGGTCTTCTGGGGTGGGAGCCGGCAGGTTCAGCCTAATGCCCAGTTTGGTCAGGAATTTCTTGGTGAAGAGGTCACAGTCAGTGATCCTGAAGGTGCGCGAATAGAACACGACCTCTTGGTTGATGTTGAAGTGTTGCACCTCGTAGTGAAACTCGTCGTGTGGCGGAGGGAGGGGAATGCGGTGACGTCTGATCAGAGTCCCTGGGTCGGAAAGAGCCGTGTGGAAAGGAACAAACACGTGAGACCAGCTGGGTCTAAAAGAAACACACATCCAAGGGCAAATAACTATCTCCTTTTTAAGAAAAGGGAAACAGTGAAATGCATATCTTGTAACAAAAGTTCATCTTGCATTTTAATTGCTAGAAAACTACACTCCTCTTTGTGTATAGTCTAAAGTATCATTTCCAGTGCAATTAAGGTTCTGCGGACCTTGTCATTAATCAGCTGTGGTTTGATGTCAAATTTCAGAACGTCCTTTCGTTACAGCACTGTTCTAGGCTCCCACTACTTCAGAAAGAGTTGAAGGGCGTATGTTTGTTACATATCCTGAAAGCCTGATGTAATACTCACAGAAATCATAATGAAAGTCACCGCAGAAATAATTATAAATTAGTTTTCACACCCCAGGTGACACACAAACCACAGTTCGCAAATTATAATCTATAAAAGCAACCACTGTGTTGAATACCTTTTGGAAACAGTATACATGGCACATTGGAGATGTGTTTTCCTTACCATGGGGTGTCTGGTAATCTTTGAATTCCTTTGGAAATTGTTACCTTGTGGAATCCCACTGTTTTGTTTCTCGGGCTCCACCACTTGTATAGTTCCATCCTCCAGGAAAAAGTAAATCTTGCACTTCCTGATTCGGAGCTGCTCGACTCTGCTTTCATGAACTGGTTCTTTGAAGTGTGCTTCAAAGCAAAGCACCTACAGAAATCCATGGTCAATTAAAAAAAAAAAAAGTTAATTTCTCTGTAATTTTAACCGATCAGATCCGTGGAACTCAACCAATTTCACACCTCAATTAAATAACATCAGTTAAAGGCCTAAATATTATTCTAATTTCTTGTTGTGCTCATCCACTTTTAAAAACAAACTTTAAAATGGTCAAACGAATGGAAATGGTTAAGACAAAATGAGACATTGCAGGAATTAATACAAACAAGGAATAGGAACACGGTTTGGCAATTAAATTTGCTTTTAGAAAAATAAAATTAATTTGCACTTCAAAAGCCCTGCTGAAATTACCGTGGAATTTCGCGCTCTGAAAGAATATTGATCCTGTTGCAAAGGACCAGGTGGATGGGGGCGTGTTTGCAGGCCTTGACACTAGGCTTTTTTTGGAAAGACATCGCAATTATTAGTTCTTGTGTCCATGTTTGTGTTTTCACTAGGGTGATCCTGATGTGAATTCCTCCTCCATTGATAATCATCTTTTCTCCAAAATGGCCCCGCTCAGTCATTCCTAGTTATTCCTTCTCCTCACCAGCTTGTTAGTCAGTCAAAAAGCCTCAGCCCACTGACTTCTTAAAAACCTCAGGCAGGTGTTTCCAAGCTGTGACAAACTGTCTCGATTGCTCTTTTAGAGACCAGAGGCTCCCTGGAACTAGCTCTTTTTCCACAATTCAACCTATGTTTACAGTCAGGTTGGTTCTCCATAGATCCATTTTTTCAGGTTGGAATTAGATCGTGATCTTCGATTATCCTTCCCCTCAGCATGATACACTGCTCAAATCCCATTTCATTTTGCATTTATTGGGTTTCTATTATGCTAAATTTGTCTCGCATAGCATGTCCACTACATTATGAAAATTGTAGATTTTATTCTCTTTTTACCCTTATTAAATGTTATTTAAAATGAGTTGCAGAATTTTTACTGTAACCTGTCTTGGGAAAAGGCATCAATCAATTCAATGTACAATAACAGTTTTTTTGTAGGTCTTGTACTGCACTATACTGTACAGTATTAATAATTCCTTTCATTTACATAGTGCTTTCTGGACACTCCAGTCAAAGTGCTTAACAGGTAATGGGGTGTCCCCTCCATCACCACCAATATGTAGCCCCACCTGGATGATGTAATGGCATCCAAAGTGTGGCAGTACACTCACCACACATCAGCTATTAGTAGGGAGGAGTACAGGACACTGGGGTTACACCCCTATTCTTTTCGAGAAACACCCGGGGATTATAATGACCACAGAGCGTCAGGACCTCGGTTTTACATCTCATCCAAAGACCGGCACCTTTTACAGTATAGTGTCCCCTTTACTATACTGGGGCATTAGGACCCACACAGACCGCAGGGTGAGCGCCCCCTGCTGGCCCCACTAACACCTCTTCCGAACAGCAACCTCGGTTTTTCCCAGGAGGTCTCCCATCCAGGTACTGAACAGCCTCACTCCAACTGAGATTCAGTGGGCTGCCAGCTGTGAGCTGCAGAGAGTTATAGCTGTGTTTTACATTAGGTTTTGATGTATCCGTAACCTCATTGTTAGTTAATTAGTAATTAGTAATTAGTTACAGATACCTGTGATATGTCACACAAGGTTACTTTATGTCACTGGATAACAATAACAGAGACTACTGGGAAAGGTGCAGTACCTGTTTGTCAAAGGCAACCCATGAGGGAGTATCGCTGCCCTCTCCTTGGGGGAACATGGAGTACTTGGGGCGGATCTTCTGGCCCGGGAGTGGTTCACCCCCGATACCAGGCTTCTCTTCACCGACCGCCAGCCGAACCCCGTTGGAAAAATCAAAATGCTGGGACTTGTGAAATTTCTCCTTTCCCAGCTGGAAGATCAAAATGTGCAGACCAAAGGACTTTTAAAGAGGGACTGTCGCACATTTTAAAAACAGCACCCTAAGGCCCATAAAAGACTCGGAATTATGTGAGACTCTGTATTTTCCACCGAATATTGTATTTTCCAATATTTTTTACTGTCGGAGTCATGAGGGAGTCGGAGCCTATCCTAGCAAGCAGTGGGGGCAGAGCAGGATAGCTGGGACACACACAGACACACACTCACACCAGGGCCAATTTTCACAGCAGCCATCCTTCCACTTAAAAAGGCTAAACATGTCTGAAGTACTCCTTTTTCTGTATAACATAAGAGTTCAGCAAAATATTACATTACAACCAATAACATTAAAAAAAATGGATAGTGTTATCTTCTCAGAAACAGAGTAACATATGGAATTCGTTTCAATGTAGTGGTGCTTGACAGGAAAGGGAAAACAGATTCAGAGTTTGATGCAAATTCCCTTAAAGCAACAATATGTTGTTATATAGAGAATGATCTTCTACTCAGTGAAACCAATCAGTAATATACACACAGCTACTGTTATTACACTCCTGTGCATTAATTAAACAGTAAAATTGGGGGATACTATGTTAAAAATGTAGAAGACCTCATTTATAATATGATGTGCAATTTTGGTCACCATGTTTTAGAAAAGATAGATACTGCTTATCCAGAATCAGGCACTCTGGGTTTAAGAGGATGTCCTACACGGACAGGGTGAAGGATCTCAACCTTTCGAGCCTCGAACAGAGAAACAATTAAAGGTTTACTCTTTGCCCGAAGAAGGCTCCACAGCCGAAATGTTGTGCTTCTTTTCTTCTCTTTTCGGCGTGGAATAAACCTTTACCTGTTCCTTTGCTGCCTACGCATGCTGACGCAGCTGCCTACTCGAACTACTTGAACAGAGAAGATTATGAAGAGACCTGATACGAGTATGCAAAATTCCTTCAAAGGTACTGACAACATGAACATTAAAACAAATCTGAGGACGCACGTGGAAACTATGCGGAAGCACATTTAAAACTGAAAACAGGAGGCACTTCTTTACAAAAGGGATGTGGGAGCAGGGAACAAACAACACAGTCATGTTATTGAAGGCGATACCCTGGCTTCTTTCTAGAAATGGCTCAGTGAGATCCACGTATCTCTGAGATACTAGAAGCCAAAGGTGCTATACAGGTCGAATGGCCTGTCGTTGGCCACCTTTCTTCTGTTTAAAAAAGTGGGTGTTGTGATCGTCTATGTAGTGCAATAACACGGCTCAAGATGTGCAGAGGATGTGAACACCTCCGATGTGACACATATTGTTTGGACCTACTTTCAACAGAGTATTTGATTTGCTGTACTGTAGATTAGCGTTCAACAACAAACCCAGCAAGGCTTGAGGTCAGAAACCGTCCTGAGTTTTTCTCTTATGGCTGAGCAACAGTCTTTCCCTGCGTTTTCCCTTGACAGAAGCACTGCTCGAAGTTGGTAACTGTGTTCAACGCAACCTAAAGCGCCACCAGGAATACTAAAACACATCATATGGATTTCATTTAAGTCTGTGTTCTTTTTAAAGTTCTGCACAGACCTTAAATAATGCAGCGTTTGAGTAACTGGTACCCTTTCTGCACCTAGCCCTTAGCTAGGTAAAGTTTGTACAGACGCCTCACCACTTATTATAGAATTGATACGGGACTAAACAGAAACAGCACTGGCAGAAAACTTACGTTTTTGTTGGGAGAATATCCCGGGAGCGACATGATGGGCCGAGCGATTGCTTATATCCCACAGCTCGCCAAACACTGATAACTTTTCCGTTGCTAAGGAGAGTGCGTCGTTTTGCGGCGGGTAGCTAGGAAACCTTCCTAAACGTCACGATCTGCGCAGGTCTTGAAGACACGCAAGTGTGTCGCCGATTGCTCGTCATTTTTCGAACGACCGAGTCCTTGTGCGGATTACATGACATTTAACTATTCTACAGCCTGAATTCATATTTTTACGCCACCCCATGCCCCCCTCCACCCATCTTCAGCAGCACGAAGATTCTTTAAACAAAAACACAACCCATTTCTTTCCGTGTAGCTTTATCCGAATGACATGCCAATTACTATTAAACGTATGTTTTTTTTTTTATAAATACGAAAACGACACTTGTCGGGAAAGGGAAATCAAAGTCATAATCGTCATAATGATATTAATGATGTACACCACGTTGACGTTTATCTCCAAGACCGTGGAAACGTCTTTATTCAGAGAAAATACAAAATATCAAAAAGAAGTCTATTCACTGTAATAACTGAGTCTTATAAAAAATAGCGTTCCACGTTTGATTATGCTCCGGAAGTCAAATTATTCTATACCTTTCGCCAGCTATAGGTTGGGAGGCATATGCTGCATCCAAGATATATTAGTATTCACCACAATAATCTTCCAGATCGCCACGTTGCCTTCATTTTAAAGGTTGGAGAATCCCTCGATCACTCCTGCTAACACTCTCCATTGTATCACTTCTAATTCGGGATCTAAATTCCATCCGGCCTACTGAAAATGTAAGGACCGTAATTAATGAGCAAGGCCAGCCTAATTTGTTTTTAAAAATCTGCAGCATCTAGCCTCACTAAAACTAACAAGAGGAGAATATCAGCCTGCTGCTTATTCCTCAGGTCCTGCGTGATGGTACAAAGCCAAAACTACAGAATACATTCATTTTGTTTTGTGCCTGGTGCTGTACAGGACACTTACACCCTAGTGAAACCTCCTGCTAATGTCTACCTTCCACCACAAAGATGAAGTGAGTACAGCTGACCTGTCTTAGGCTCCTTTCAACTCTCTGGAGGTAGCTGCTGTACATTTGCAGTTAAGGCTGAACTAAAAAAGACACACAATTATATAACCACGTAATGTAATTGAAAAATGAAAGATGAAAGTAGTATTTGTCAATCCGTTCATCTTTAAGTAAAAAGTAAAAAAAGACACCAAACCAAAAAAAAAAGTTTATTTTCTCATTTATATGTTATGGCAGTACAGCAATAAATATATTATCCCACTCCTTCTAATACACATTGTAACGTTCATTGTTAAACAGAGGCAAAATAATTCAATTGTAACTCAACGTGACCCTTAATATTAAGGAATATATTCAGCACTTGGTCATATACCTTGCGTAGTCATGTTTCTTGTCCAGTAAAATTAAAATAATCCTTTAACAAAACAGATTACTCATCAATGGCGAGGCAAAACAGTTCAGAATGCAATGAAACACGTAAAGCAAAGCCTATATCCCGTACAGTCTTAATTGTATTGTGTTTAAGAAGCCCAGCTTCGAATGGCTCTAGAGACTCAGTAAAGGGAAGGAGAGAACTGCAGCATGCCATGGCTTTGCTCTGCTTGTGCGCCTTCTCTTATACCAGCCCAGTCAGAGGAAATACTTCACAGTTATTATTATTCTGGATCTCAGGTCATCTCTCCAAACTGGCTTTAAGATGCCAGTCCCAGCAGGAACCCGCCCACAAATCCACTGGAAAGCACTATGTTTTTCTTAACAAACTCCGTAGACTGCAAAACAGAAGAGGAAGAGCAAAGATTATATTTTATCATCTTTTTTTATAATTGTAACTTATATTTTACTATTCTTGGTCACAATAAGAAGGGAGAGGACCCGAGATTCCAGTGACTGGGTTAGGGCCACTGAGGTCTTGAATGTGACAGATGAACGTCTTTGTACACCAATGTATTAGAACACAAAGGAAAACAGAGAAAGGAACAATATGAGCATCAGAGCATGCACACACTGCACATTCAAGCAGACAAAAACACAACAGTGCTTTGTGATAATAATGTCACAAGTGTTAAAAATTGTCTAAGAAACTATTCCTAACGGAATAACCAAAGGAAGGTCACTTCTTCCAATAGGGGGCGCTAATGCCTGAAATATTATCACCTTTAATACCCAGTGTTTAGCTATTCCAGCTGTGCTTTCACATTTTTCTAAGGATCTACAAAATGACTTCTTAAAAAAAATTAAGTTTCGTTCAGTTTCAAGTGCCTCCCTCCATTATTACAGGCTCAAAAATAATTTAATTTGCATTTGTTCAACTGTATCCATCCATCCTTTTTTTAACCACCGATTGCCTATCGCAGAGATTGACAGGTGGAAGGCAGGGCACACCCTGGATAGGATACAACTCTTCGATTGTATCAAAAAATTATTCTCCAAAAAGATTAATAAGCATTAGCCTTAAAACACTACTGCATTAACAAAAGCACTGTCAGGAGATGATATCTGTTGGGTCTTGGGTGGCTGAAACTGAGCCATGTTATTGGCCAGCAGTGCCTACATTCCCCCAGGTGGTGGCAGCTCCTTGAACCACACCAGGACTGTGTGTCCAGCATTTCCTCCACAAGACCTGCCAGTGACCTATGGGGCACATAGCGTGGGAGATGCTGACAGGTGGGCGGGGCTGAGGAGCAAAACTGCAGGTGTGGCTCTGACAGGTGGGCGGGGCTGAGGACTGCAGGTGTGGCTCTGACAGGTGGGCGGGGCTGAGGACTGCAGGTGTGGCTCTGACAGGTGGGCGGGGCTGAGGACTGATCTCCTCTCTCCCAGTATGGAACAAGGGGTGAGGATATAAGATCACTTTATTGGCCATATACAATTTTTTGTATTAGGAGTTTGTCATTTCTCATATCCCAACTTGCTCTCAATGAGACACACAGACGGGGAGAGAAGCTTGGGGTCAGAGCACAGGGTCAGCCATTTATATGGCGGCCCTGGAGCAGTTGGGGTTAAGGGCCTTGCTCGGGGGCCCGTCGGAGTAGGATTCCTCTGGATACAAACCTGCGGCCAGTGCAGGCGCAGATCCTCAGCCACAGAGCCACCGCGCCACCCCGCCACGATATGAGCTGAGCTGATAACTACTCGGGGAAGATTCCAAATTTAAATTTGGAAGGCTTCACCAAATAAAAATCCACACAAAGCATCACCTCTTTTTTTGGCTCCCAGATCAAACTTTTTTAGCAAGAATCTTTTACACAACCAGATGCTGATCTGAATTTAACAAATACAATTTATTTCTACTTAATCCTTAAACTTTTTTTGTGTGCAAATTAACCATGTCCTAGCTTGAAATGTACAGCAATCCATCTTCAGAACGGGATTTACCAGGCAGGCGGCACAGTTTCACAGAAGAACAACTAATTAATGTACAAGTAATGCCTCTTGATTTGCACAAGAAAACAGGTATTTTTAATTTTATTGAATTGAAACCACAGTTCCTCATCATTGACTCTTTGATATGGATTATAGCAATTCTTATCTATTCCACTTTCAGTTCGTGGCTTCCACTGGATCTTGGATCACATTTAACTTCAGGCACTTCCACTTCCACAGCAAAAGCTGTTGCTTAACATTACATTACAAAAGAATATATGATCTAACAACTGCACTGAATTCATTCTTAAAGCCAGTGTTACTACAAAAGAAATACAACAATTTCAAAGGTAGCACTGTGGATTTCCACCAGTGATCCTGAACCCGAATGATCCTGCAGTCAAGTGCACAGAGCTGTGTTCAAGTGAGAAGCCTTCACGCGGAGATGATGGAACTGCAAGACAGGACTGAGCTTGAACTGGAGAGAATACGAACACATTCCATATATGGTAGCACCTTCAGCGCCATGCGAGGTCTGAGGCAGATGGCCCTGCGGAAGTGTGATATTTCTTACAGCACTGGGTTTGGAAGCACCATGGGAAAACAGGATAATACCACCGTGCTAAGGGGGAGGAGGGTATTTAAATATAGCAGCACCCTCTGACAGCAACAGAAATTGCGTCGTTATGGGTTGGAAGTCTCACCTCTTCAATGAAGCTATTGATTTCAGGGGCGGCTTTGTTCGCCTTCTTTTTAAGATGCTTTTTAGCTTTGTTGACGTCTTTTTCTACCTTCTTCCAGTCGACCTGCACGTATCCGCTGTGATTTGCAATCTGGAAAGGAGCAACAAAATCATCGTTCCCACATTTCAGGAGAAAAAGTTTGCGAAGAGCAGCAATCTGACAGCGATTTAAATGTAAACAAACCCATAATGTTTGATTTTGGCAATATCATCATCAGTGTATTGATTACAAATCAGTTCAGGCATCTTCAAATACGGAAGAAAAAAGCCAACCCCTTAGTTTCCCATTTTAGACAATGCTACAAGCATTCATGAGAAACCAGAGCCATTGCACATTTAGAACTTGACAGAGTGAACTGAAGCATCACCTCTTTTTTTGGCTCCCAGATCAAACTTTTTTAGCAAGAATCTTTTACACAACGAGATGCTGATCTATTACATTGGTATCTGAAAGCCATTTGGATGTGGTATAATTACATTTAAACAACCTGTGATTACACCATTTAAACACATGCATTGTACCTCCTTCTCCTCCCAGGGTCTGATATTTCTGCACTTTATTTTTTAGTATTCCTCTTAACAGCCGAAGCAATGGGCCAACCGACATGAAACACAGAGAGTGCCAGCACTGACACGCTCCCAGCCAATCAGTGAACCCGGGCGGAAGCACACCTATCTCCTGAGAAGTCAGTGCTGTGCCAAGCATGCAAGGACACTTCAACGCCCCGGTGGCCCCATTCCGTTTGTCAGGCTTGCGTTTCTGGACGCCGCAGATGTCAGCACGATTCGTTCTGTACCTGTAGTAAAAGGAAGCCGCCGCCAACCGCAGTTGCTGCAATCTTCCCAACCCTCTGGAACAGGTACCCTGCGCACCTGCCCAAGGGAAACAGTTGTCAGGGCTGGGGTTTTAAAGAATAAATTAAGATAAAGAAAAAGGCATCAACCCCTGCCTCAGGGTTTTCTGCTGTTGCCCTGGAGTGTCCAGGGTGGTACAACATTATCCCTTACTGTTCAAAGCCACCCTTTTACAGTATGGCCAGTGCAATTTTAATGTTTTTTCTTGATTATACTTACAATACTTACTTAACTGCATACTGCATTTTTCTGCCCTTGAATGACGCTCTGCTGAAATAGCCCTGATTTTAGGTGCCGGAGTCAGCTCTGCTTTCAAGAACCACGCAGGGAGTAATCCTCTGGCTAACAGGCCCAGAATGCACAGAAAGATACAGGTCTGATTAACTGTTGTTAACTTATGTTGCACTCATTAAAGATGACTGAAAATACCCAGCTATCCTGCACAACATATGCCTGGACCAGCAGTTCTAGGCCTTAATTGTTAAGCACCTTAAGTAATGCCATCTTCCAAGCCACATAATCAATGACATTGAGATATTACATGACCTGCAAGAGTCTAGTGGAATGGTACCTCCTACACGGTAGCAGTGGCCCAGGTCACCAAACTGTCCAGAGAGAACAGCTGGTCTATGAGCTAAACTTACAGCAGCAACCTGGTTTTTCCTAAGAGATCTCCCATCCCAGTACTGACCAGGTGCAGCCTTGCTCCGCTTCTGCGATCCGACGAGATCAAGCTACAAGCCCGTAACGCTGCTGCTGCCTGATATCTGAACAAGCAAATTGGGAGCCCCCTGGCACACCTGTGCTGATTATGGGGAAGGGGGGGGCAGGAAAACTCACATTTCAGCCCTGACTTGGCACTGCATCTTATTGCTGCGTTAAAGAAGCTCCTGTCCAGCAGACGATATCCAGCAGACGCCAGCAGCCATTTCACCCTGCAACTCACAACTGGCAGGCCACTGAAGCTCAGCAGGTGTGAGCCTGGTCAGTACCTGGATGGGAGACCTCCTGGGAAAAACTAAGGTTGCTGCTGGAAGAGATGTTAGTGGGACCAGCAGGGGGCGCTCACCCTGCGGTCCATGTGGGTCCTCATGCCCCAGTATAGTGACGGGGACACTATACTGTAAACAGGCGTCGTCCTTCGGGTGAGACGTAAAACCAAGGTCCTGACTCTCTGTGGTCATTAAAAATCCCAGGGCATTTCTTGAAAAGAGTAGGGGTGTAACCCCGGCGTCCTGGCCAAATTTCCCATTGGCCCTTGCCAATCATGGCCTCCTAATTATCCACATCTATGAATTGGTTTCATCACTCTGTTCTCCTCCCCACTAATAGCTAATGAGCGTTCTGGCTATTATTACACAAGTAGTTACGTACAGATAAAGGCATTCCAATGGGAACTCATTTCTTTACTTAAGTGAAATAACCTTATATGTACTTTAAGACAAATCCATAAAGTACCCTTAAAGAGTCTGTATACTTACCAGCCAGTTACACCACCCATCATGATCTGCGTTGCAACAGAATATTTCTCGGCAATGGGTCCAGAATTCTGGCCAAAGACGCGACTCCACCACTGATGGCGTCTTGCATAATCCGAAAGGTCCACCACTTCGTACGAGTCATCGTCACTGTCTTAGCATTTCAAGACGAAACCATGCGTGTCAGTTTGCCACTCTCGGTTCATCTTTACACACCACCACTCATCCCAGACAGTGGCATCGCCTAACGAATGCACTGAGTTTTATCCATATAAAATACCAATGAGCACAAACAAATAGTCTTAAACAGGAATGACATAATCATGCCTTCTATCTAAAGAGCTCCTCGCTGCAGCTCAGACCGAAATGTATTAATCAACTCTTTTTGTTTCTCTGAGGCAATCTAACGAAGGATAAACTCTTGATAATTTCACAGAAGGCTCTCCCTTTTGACAGAAGGCTATCCCTAACAGATTACTCAGATTACTTTTTATGACTTTGCCAGATAAAATACTGAGCAGAAGACAATCACTCAATTTATGCAGATGTCATCCATCCATCTTCTAAGCTTTTTATCCAGTACAGGGTCACGAGGGTGCCAGAGTCTATCCTGACAAGCAATGGACACCAGTACACTGCAGGGCACACAGACACAAACACACTCACACCAGGGCCAATTCTCCCAGAAGCCAATTAACCTACCAGTGTGTCTTTGGACTGTGGGAAGAAACATGGAGCACCATGAATCGTTTATGCAGGTTTGTTTTATACACACAAAAATAAATTCTTCATATTTGGGAGACTGAGTAATTGTTTTGGGGTCATTTTGATTTATTGAATGCTCATGTTGCCCGTTATGCACTCCAGTGACTTTGACTGCTGCATCAGCACTATAGCAGCTCAATAAGGGAAAAGCTGATCACATATGGGTGATGAGGTAATTTAACCATTTGAATGTCAACGAAAAGGGAAAATCAAGAAACCATAAAAACAGAAAAAAAACAAATGCGTCCCATTTATGTTGGGAACAATATCTTTCTGCCATCGGTATGATGGAGCCTCGGCTAAGTAAGAAAATTGTCGCTTTATTCTGTCTTTTTGACTGGCACTTAATAGTCATATTTGTATTGTTCTTATAGGAATTGGATTGTCTTTATTTTTCCCCAGTTCAACAATATCAAACGTTAAGATGGCAGACACGAAAGTAGACACCAGTTCCAAGTTCCCCACTGAGGTAAGAGGGCATATGTAGACTGCTGAGATAAAATGATTGTCGGCAGCTACATCAGCCTGGAATGCACAACTGGCAACCCACTGAAGCACAGCAGGTGTGAGCCTGGCTAATACCTGGATGGGATTGCTTTTAATGCAACATAATATACAAACAATTGGGTGATGAGTTTGCATATTTACACTATTACATGGATAAGAAGAACATATGGATCAATGTCTATGGCACTTGAACTGCCCTTGACATGACAGCTCGTTTTATAACAATGGGATTTAACATTTTTAATTGATATGACTCATATAACGGTCTAAGTTTGCACTTCCAGATTTGAAGAAACATCTAGTTTAGCAAAATCTTGTATATTATCAGAACATTGCGTATACCGTATAATCGTTCCGTACAGCTCAATTCTTTATTACTTTAGCCATTAACATTTTGTAATGCGGTAAAACGCGAAAATCTAAATACAGTTCTTAGAAGGTAGTGTAGCTAACAGTCCGAATGTATATGTAAACATAACAATTTCATTCTACAATTCTACAATTTCACTTCCTCAAAAGACGACGCACAGACTAGCAAATCAAGAACAGGATTGTATTTGTTCATTCCTAAAGACACCGTTGTTAATAAGCTCCATTTTTGTTTAAATGCCACTAAAACACAAATGCACTACCAACCTTCTCTGCAGTCCGCCATTTTGCAGTCAACTGCTCAGGATGTTGACAGTGCCAAGCACCCGGTGTACTCCGCCTCCTCCACCTCGGTTCAAGTTGTTTAAAGAGCCAGGACATCTTTTTTTTCTGCAGCTCTGGCGTTTCGTGAGTTCCAAGATGGAATACAAATGTTTAAAGTTGTTTTTCTTCCAGCTTTACGTGTCCTAAATATTGTTTTATTTAACAATATAACAATAAAATCTGCAACAAGTAACCGCGCAAAATGTATTAAGTAACAATCTCAATATTCAACTTGCATCCATTACTATCCGGCGCTGGGTCCCTGTCACGTGTTTCAACTGTAACCTCCGCGCAAAATATGCGGATTTACCCACAGGATATTGGCGTGACTGTTTCTCAGTTGTCCTGTGTCGTTACCATCTTGCACGGTGGCTTTTGCAGCTCTTGTGGTTTATCGTAGCTCTCAAGCTCAAGAGGTTAAATTTACCTTGTGCTGCAACTGCATTTACCTTTCCCGGTTTTATTATACCTTCCTAATTGATATGAGTGATCTAGATTCTCATATAATCAGTCGAGTAGCTCGAAGACGACACCAAAACAGGAGGTTTAGCAAACAGCGTGAAAGCAGAAAAGGAAAATAAAAAAACTACACATCTGTCATATGGCATTTACGTCATTTACGTTCTTCTGACACGAATACAATAGCAGCGTGTTACATCCAGGTAGTAGACATATAAACTATAGATACGTGTTGTTGGTTAGCTGTTCGTTTGTAGTTCCCAGCAATGTTACCTTATTCTGAAGATGTGGAACAATGAGTGTATTTACACAGCTGGCTGGGCTAACACAGATATCACAGCAGTGTTCCTAATAATTAACTTATGCTAAACACAGTCACTGTTCCATTGTTAAGTCATCCCTATTAAAACATATATACTCAAAATTGACCAGACCACTCATAGTGATGTCATTATGCCAGCATGCTTGAGGAAAGAGGAGGAAAGTCTGAAATAACAGAAAGACATTATCATCATCACAAGAGGATTCTGTGTAAGAATAAATTGGGCGGAGCAGTGGCTCTGTGGCTAAGGATCTGTGCCTGTGGCTGGAAAGTTGCTGGTTCAAATCCTGCAGCCAGCAGAGGAATCCTACTCCGTTGAGGCCCCCTATGCAAGGCCCTTAACCCCAGCTTCTCCAGGGGTGCTGTATAAATGGCTGACCCAGCACCCTGACCCCAAGCTTCTCTCCCTGTCTGTGTGTCTCATGGAGAGCAAGGTGGGGTATGCGAAAAGACAAATTCCTATTGCAAGAAATTGTATATGGCTAATAAAGTGATCTTATCTTATCTAAACTACCTCTAAAGTGTCTGTATACAGTTCAGCAAAAAAAAGTGTTTGCTCCCTTTCAGATTCTCTAACTTCACCACTGAATGTTTCACCACCACGTGAACAAATAACACCAGCATTTGGTGCTTGTTTCAATTGTTTTATAAACAAAGTAATCCCACATCAAATATCCCCGTGTTAAAAAGTGAATGCCCTCTGTAGTTCAATCACTTTAATTAAGGGATAACTAGGGCCAGCTGAGTGAGTACTTTAATAAAGTCAGGACTGATGTAGCCCAGCCCCACTCTCTATAAAACTCACAGACTTTGGCTCTCCTCATCTCAGTGAAGTTATTCAGCCAATTACTCTAGCCATCATGATCTGGGGGTGAAACAGAATATTTCTCGGCGATGGGTCCAGAATTGTGGCCTGAGACATGACTCAACCACTGATGACGTCTTGCATAATCAGTAAGAGCCACAAATTTTAGTCTTGGACACAGAAGACTATGAGGTGACCTGGTTGAAATATTCAAAATCCTCTGAGCCACTGACTTGAGAATCAAAAGCAAAACATGAGTCACAAGTGGAAACTAAAATTAAGTGCATGTCTTTACCCAAAGGGTAGTTGGGGTAGGGAACAAGTGACCCAGCCCTGTTGCTGAAGGTGATATCCTGTCTTTCAACATACAGCTTGATCAATTAATAACTACAAAATGTTATACATAATTTCTTCTTATAATTTTCCATGCTTTTAACATTTTTTCATTGGCTTGTCACTCTTACCTCTGCCATCACAATGCTGTATCACAACGGCTGTCAACACAGGACTATAAGAAAAACAAACCCATCTGTGCCCAATGATATAAAGAAGGAGATTAAGGTTTTTGTTTAAATGACAAAATTACAAGGTTTGAAATAATACTCTGGCAATTTTGCAGATCTTCTATTCTAGCTTTTAGATATTGGTACTGTAGCCTAGGACATAAATGTGTTTTTATTTTCATAGTACTTTTAATATGCATGTTACTTTTTCAGAATGTATCATCTAGTTTTATCATAAATCAAGAGTTTTAGGATATATCGGAGCTGTAGTTTCCTTGGAGTGGTATTTCATTAAAAGGTTACATTTTTTGTATGATTTTAATTAATAGAGCACATTTAATTTTTTGTACCTAAGTGAAGGAAATCATCTGGATGTTTCATTAAGCCGACCAGAAATTATACATTCTATGTCCATGGGTCCAGATTTACTACTTGTTTAATTTTATCAGCGTGTTTAATTTCTTTTGTGTTTGAGATTGAATTGTTTGATTGCACAGATGGATTACTGTATTTTATTCATTTATTTTTAGCTGGTTCTGTCCCTCTCTTTTTGTCCAGTTTTGAGTTTATCCAGTAAAATGAGCACATTGGGGTGCAAAAGCTTGAGATTTCCTGTAAGAATGGAGTTGCAAGTGTTCCTCATCCCTACTCCCTCATAAAGACATGCTGCCTAAATTAATTTGTCTCTAAATTGTCCAATTGTGTTGTGACCTGTGATGTACTGATGTCCTGTCCAGGGTGCGGTCCTGTCTTGTGTCCTGCAATGGACTACTGTCCTGTCCAGGGGTAGTCCAGTTACTGTTTCAGGGCTTAATTGATTGTTCTGGATTGATTGACCCTTTCCAAGAATAAAACATCCATGTTATAGAAAATCTGTTATCTTTGTGAGCTGTTGTGCAGGCCTGAGAAATGTTTAGCTTGCAATATATCTCATCACATGTAAATTGAACTAGTGTTTACAGTGTGTGGTGCTGTTTTGAATGATGGAGGATACAGAAAAAAGTAGGTTGTATTTTTTTAAGTGTGCTACTGCAAATGAGAAGAAGTCATTCAGCACATCAGGCTCATTTAGGTTTAAATTTCTCTTAAGGTTAAATGCTTCTTGCAGTGGGTGGGTAATACAGTAAATGTCAAAGAGTTACAGAGCTGGGGTTGCACTTACTGTAATTCCTTGAGGTGGTTGTTATTGATTGGCCAGTGAGACCTCTAACATATTGGCCCAAAGGCTAATATGCTTTAGAGCTTCCAGCAAGCGGTGTTCTAAATGAAAGTGAGAGATCTTGTAATCCTTAGAAATGAGACCAGATACAGCCTCCGGCATTGGTGTAACCTGAATCATAATCTGGACTGGCCAAAGGCAAAAGGTCAAGGAATAAATTCCTTGATTAGAATGACACCTTTCGGGTTTAGAGTAAGAACAGCAATTATGTATTAATTAAATTGCTGTAATTATGTATTAATTGGATTTGTGTAGGGGCAGCACGGGGGCAGAGTGGTTAATATTGCTATGTCACAGCACGGGGGCCCTGGCTTCAATTCTGGACCTGGGGTACCATCTGGTTGGAGTTTGTATGTTCTCCCAATGTTTGCACGGGTTTCCTCTGGTGCTCCGGTTTCCTTCCACAGTCCAAAGACATGCTGGCGGGTTTGTTGGCTTCTGGGAAAACTGGCCCTGGTGTGAATGTGCCTGTGTCTGTGTTAGTGTGCGCTTTGCAGTGGACTGGAATCCAGTCCAGTCTGCATCCTGCCTTGTGCCCACTGCTTGCCGACACTGGCTGGCAACCCTTAATTAGATAAAGCAGTCAGAAAATAGATGGAAGGATTTGTGTAGTGTCTCTTTCAGAGTTACTTTATGTAATAATAATTCCTTACAGTTACATAGTGCTTTTCTGGACACTCCACTCAAAGTGCTTTATAGGTAATGGGGACTCCCCTCCACCATCACCAGTGTGCAGCCCCACCTGGATGATGCGACGGCAGCCATAGTGCGCCAGAGCTCTCACCACACATCAGCTATTAGTGGGGAGGAGAACAGAGTGATGAAGCCACTTCAGAGATGGCATTATTAGGAGCCATGATTGGTAAAGGCCAATGGGAAATTTATCCAGGATGCCCGGGTAACACCCTTATATAAACCATCTATATAAAGCTTTATATAGAGAGTGAAAGGATTCCAGAGTGATCTGCATATAAAAAGGGACCCACTTCATCCGCCACTGACACGCAGCCCCACTTGTCTGACAAACAGCAGCTCCACTGCACAGCAGATGAGGTGGAGTAGACAGAAACTATGAACAGGTGTAAAAGCTGGGAAACAACTGGACCAATAGAGGGCACACTTCCCTCTGGACCAGAACCTTCCTAGCAAGAGCAGCTCTGCAGGGTTTTCAGGGCACACTGGACTGTAGGAAGTGTCATCCTTCGGACCAGACGTTAAACTGGGGTCCTGGCTGCTTGGTCACTAGGGATCTCAGGACACAGCTCATCAGAGTGGGGTTGTTAAGGGCTGTGATCCTGCCAATTTCCACTCAATTTCTATCATCTGTCCTCACTATAAATTCCCCTTAATTCAACTGGTGAAGCAGGTTCTCACTTCTCTCCCTCATTGGCTTTGCAATGAGGTTGCCCTTTAGTGGTGAATGAGGCTGGTCACCTCCTAAATATTTAATATTGCCAGGTGGATGCTTTTCATATAAGAAAACAAAAAAGTGGAGAGGGGGGTCCTTGTGAATTGTGTTGCTTGTTTTAGCTTGTAAAACACAAAAATGCCCTTCTCGGAAATCAAGAAAACAAGGTTTGCAGAATACTTATAACATCCAATACAAAAAAATCAAACATAAAAAAAACAAGTGGCCTACGTCTCCCGAAAATGACTAATTTCAAGCTGAAGTTTCCTCGGTTTCCCAGTAGCTTTAGCTCGCAGGGCGTCTGTTATCATGTTTACGGTTTTTTTTTTGGCTGAATCCTGAATTTCTTTATCTTTGAGCG